GCATATCTGCTGCATGATTTAGATCAGGGATCACTGGTCCATGGAGATAGTATACATTATTCCGAACCGGGATCTGCACGCGACACTGGCAACTTCCAGACGAGTAGAAAAAACTTCTCCCATTTTACTGACTCCAGATATTGAAAGCGAGTTCGTCATTCAATAAAAAGATAGATCGTGGTGCCACATGATGAGATGATGAAGCGGGCAAGTACTGGTGGGTCGGGTTCGACTTGCAAGTGGCTATGGTTCAAATTTCAAGACGCTGCAGCCAGACTAAAAATCCTCAGCGCTCCGATACGGCCGTGAGAAGGAAATCAAGTATTTGACCCAAGCCACTACTTATACTCAAGTCCTCGCAAGTATCAGACAGAGTATGCCAGAATTAACACCTCGGGCTGCGTTGGTCTGGTCCATATTCCTGGCTTGTGGTAGTGGCCAGTGGAGTCGATCGGCGCGAAGCTTGAGTTAAAAGTGCCGTCCTCGAAAAAATACCTCAAACACGATCTGGATTGCGCAAACAAGAGACCAGATACACAAACATACATCCAGATCGACCAGTCTCCACTCCACAAAGATCACGATACAGATTGCATATAGGTCGCGACGAGACTTAGCCTAGAAGCAGTGGATGCTGCTCCCCAACTACTCCACTCCTAATCGAAGGTAACCGTGAGACTGAAGCTGCTCGTTACGAGCTCAGCGCTTCCAGTGAACGCCTCTGTACCAGTTTGCACGGCTTGCAACACCTTGGAAAGAGGCACGATTATGACATAGTTCCAGCCAAAGAGAGAACACGACTTACTTGAGTCTCCGCAACGTAGCCGTTGTCGCTCAGGTAAGCTAGGACACGAAATGAGACCTGGGTATAGTGCCAGACATGGCCAAAATAGACGCACTGAAGAAGGGGACCAGCGAAGCCGAGAAGTCCGTGATGCTGTCACCAGAGGTGGCCGGGATGAAGGAGTAGGTGTCCCAGCCCGAGTTGGGGCCGTACCAGAGGTCCCAGTCGTAGCCCTCGAGAGAGATGCCGGTGACGATGGAACTACCAACAGGTTGGATACTAGGGGATAAAGCAAATGAGTATGATGATTCATGTTGATTAAGCGTTCCACCGGAATCACGTACCCGCCAAGGCCGGAGAGCCAGATCATGCTAAGTAGGAACATGAGTGAGAAGTCTTAGAAACGTGTCAACTTGACATACATCTCGTAGTCCGTGGTGCTCGTGGGCGGGGCAGTGGCATCGTTAGTTCCAGTCCAAATATCGTACCTGTAGTAACAATACCACATTAGTGTTTGTGTATGAATTGCTTGCTTTGAACCTATACGCACGAAACGTCCGCACGGAGTCCACTGGACTGAGACTCGTAGTACCAGGACCAAGCAGTGGTTGCCTCAGAGATGTCAGACAGCTGCAAAAATGTTAATTGCTGATAACAGAGTAGAATATGATGAGAGACTGACAGCCTGGCCGTAGGCGTTCACAGTCAAAATGTTGGCATCTATGAGGGGATGTCAGGCCAATGTCGACCATTTCGAAAACTTCACTTACAGGTCTTCACGTCGTTCTCGTTGTCAGCCCAGGTGTAGGTAGTCGACCAAGATACAGCATCGCCGCCATCAACGAGGCCAATGAAAGTGGCCGTCTGGTTACCGGTGCCCTCGTCTATGGTGAGGACGATGTCAGAAAAATCAACTACACAGCATACAGTCAAGCAGACGTACCGATGCCCCACTGGTCATTGCAGAGCTCGTAGTTTCCGTCCGTGTAGCACGAGTACTGCCCAGTCAGGGTGGTCTGAGCCACCGCGAGAGCAGTCAGAGCGAGAGCGACAAGAGAACGAGGGATGAAAGCCATTGCGGTTGTGAGGGGTTGTAAACCTGCTCGCTGTGGATCCTGCTGTGTCGCTGCAGCTTTTATACCCGCAGCATGGGGTGCCGAAAGGTCACACCGGCTTCGCCTGCTCTTGCATGTTGTTGGCGACATGATGCTGCAGTACTACATCCGACGGTAAAGATGAATGGCCAGGCACCATTGCCACTGACGAGGCAAGCACCTGACGAGCTACGAATGCAGGAAAAAGGCTCGCATCGCGGTCGTGTTTGGTTGCATATGGAAACCATGGGAAGCATGGGGGTTGTAAAAGGTCATGCATCACATAGCAAAGGAAGTAAGTTCGGGGAACCCGCGTAGGACAAGTGTATGGTGACTTCAGACTCAATGTGCTGTGATCCAAGAGCTCCAGGCTCTAAGTTTAGCAGTACCTCCGCAATAACCCCAAAACACACAGCACGGAGATTTCGAAGACCATGCAGTCAGCAAAATTGCAGGGAACACTCGTCATTCACGCTTGAGAATGTTCTGATGCAACCCAAGCATCACGTTGAAAGAGCAACCGCCATCGCGACGGTACTTTAGTGATTCAAAAGAATGGCTAGATACTAATCCTCACCGTGTAGCTTATTTCGTACAATGTCGTGGGGTTTGAAGAGCAGTGGAGGTTGCGCTGTATGAGCCGACAGCAAGCGCCAATGGACGCAAGGAGACAATCGTCCCGGCAGTTAGCGAGGTCGGCGCTCGGTAGCTTATTTCGCATCTCCGCGAACCAGGTGCCTAGTGCAGTCGTGACTTCAGTCTTTTAATTATCCATGAACAACTTCCTTACGGAGCTTGTTGGTATTTGATAGACTTTCTCAGCTCCATCGAATCCATCGATGGTTTAGCTTGCGACATTCTTCGCCATTCGTCAGACAAAGGGAGAACGAAGGGCGGTGCCTGCTCCGGTGGAAGTATTGGAGCAAGAACTTGCTCGTTTCTATTAAGCCCGCCGTAAGCCCTGGTTTTGACTATTGGCTGCTACGAATCTAGGCTGAGTTAATAGTACCGAATCGTAGACACCAGTGCCACCCAGATTGTAAGATTGAAAGCAGGTGACTGACTTGTATTCATCAGGTTCAATGCCAGACACGTTAGGATAAAATATAGAAGATATCATCCGCCAAGGATACATATATACTCGCCTTCCGTGAGGAACAGCGAAGCCAGACGCATCTTGATGGTCCTGGTTCTCAAATTATCGGGCTACCTTCACTCCATTCCCCGCAGTTTCTCCGGGAAAAGTTTCCTCAAAGGTCATATACTGTACATCTTGATATCGTCCTGTGAAGACGGTGTTAGATCGGTACTCTCGGAGCGTACTTAGCTACCTGCCAACCTCGCCTAGTTGACTCCTTCATTCCACCGAAGACTTGAGCTCAGTCATACAAGTTCGGCCGCAACCACAGGAAAATTTGTCTTGCCGATTCTGCTCCCATCACATGGCACATCGTCCGCGGAGAGAGTGTCCACTTGCAGAGATCGGGGTGCACTCCTGCTGAACGATTTCACCGTTTAACTTGGGCTATGTTTTCAAAGTGTTCAGTTCCAGCTTCATCGGGCACGTTGGTTCGGTTGGGGTTAAGTTAGAGCACCACAGGAAGCGAACAAAGTCAACGACGATACTGCAGGTTACATTCCGGTAAACACTGTTGCAAAAACTTACCGGTGTGGATAGCACTGAATTTAGCCTGGTAGGGCGTATTTTTGCACGGATTCGCGACGACGCACGGTCCGACGAAAATCAGACCGAATCCGAGAACCTCCGATTATACTGAGGATATACAGGAATGAAGAGTGCCACAGTAGGAAAATATAATGTCAAATTTACCCATCGGTCTCTGAGAAGGTGGACGCTAGAACGTAACTGGAAGTCTCGAATGTATCACTTCCGCTGTACACCTAGACTCCCGCTTGCATTTTCCGCCGCTTGCAGCGTAATTCATTCGCAAATCATAACTCACTATCGTGACAAATCGTTCAGAATACCGATTGGTCAGACTGGAAGCCCTCGTTATCGAAAGGTACTCCGTGGCAATATGAAATGAGAACATTGTTGTTCAAGCCTTCAGGATAAACTCACTTAGGAAAATCATGACCCGCCAATCCAGAAAATCCGTTGGTATCATCCAATAGGGAGATCGTATTTGGCGAGTTTGGACGATCGCACTCAATGAACTCAACAACTAGCCCCCCTAGCCCCAAGACCTCGATATTGTTCAGCGAGAATACCCTTGATTATTGAGTGAGCCAATGGCGATCGTAACATTAGCAAATTGTACCCAGTGACTACTACTAGTCACGAAACTCTGGCACGTACTCGGCTGACGTACAGACACAGCTTGGTCTGGGTGACTCGCGAACTATGCTCGTGACGAAAAGTATGGGAGTGGAAGAGCTTTGTTCTTTCGGGGGTAATTATACGGAAGTCAGACAAATAAATATTGGGAAAACGTTCAATCGACTGAAGTCACTTACATGTCCAAGTTGTTAAAATGAAGTAGCAACTTATTTCTGCGGAACGCTGTTTCCACCGGTGGAGCCAGACCTGGGATGGTGCATGGAAATTCATTGGTGATATAATTTTAATCTCGAATGAACTATTGTATTCCAATACTTATACCTGATATAATGGCAGTAGTAGCCAGTAGGATTTGCAGTGCAATAGTAAATCGCGTGCAGACTCACTGCAAAGTAACATGACAGCGTGAGCATACGTCATGAATGCATGAAGCATGGACTGCCACCGACGACCGCGTGATTTGCGCACCAATAATCCAGCTGATCAGGCCCAGGCACTATGGAAATCTTCTTTTCTAAAGCCGCAGTTATATTACAGTTGATCGGAGAGTGCGGGTGCCGTTGCACTTTGATAACGTCATTGACAGTCTTCGTAAAGGGCGATGATTGAGATATGATGATTGGGGTACTAAACACAAACTAAGTCCTTCTGGCTGATTACCCAAATAATGCTGTCTATTAAATGCATTGTAAGTGTTCATTGACGAAAATACAAAGGTACGGCGATCCGTACCAGAAGAGTGCGTAACTTTTGACGAGCCTGCTTCACACACATGTCTGAGGTAGCCATCAATTTGATGCTGGATCTTCGGAACACCAGCGATGCTGCAAATGACATTATGATACCAGCATGATTGAACCCATACATATGATACGCAACTTCGTTCATCATTTTATAGTATACCAACCAGGACCATATAGAGCCGAACCATTGAATCTCCGAGAATGAGAACAGCGGAGCGCAACCTGAAGCAGCCAATAAATGATCAGTGACAATACATAGCATAAAGGTAGATTCGAGAAAGCAATGAGCAGATGCTCACCAGAGTATCTTTTACTAGGCTGTGCTCGATCTCCAATGTTTGATAACAATGCAATATACTCGATTCACAGGTTCCTATGCTTAGATTTTACCCTGTGTGCACATAAAAATTTGACCTGAGTCGTCGAAGACACAAAGAACAAAACGAACAAAACGCACTCACCCAGACTTCCACCAGCATGGGCGCTGTATTGCTACTAGAATAAATCCAGGCGCTTTTGAGAGCTGGATCAAGTGACATGTTCTAGTAGACGTTTGGTGTGGACAGAACTGGCCAGGGTAAGGCGTACCCTAAGTGCGTTCTCTGGATGGATTTTGGAAATTGAGGCAGGCCGCGGCAGGATAAGGGCGTTTATTGTCTGCGCTCTGAAAGTCGTAACTCACAATCAGCGTGATGCGGCTGATTGCACTGTTCTCTGCTGTGGGTATCAAATATCCTAACAGTGATACACCCTGACATTGCATCCTCCCGCAAGCACACGCGATTGTAACTGACGAGACTGATTAGAATCAAAATAATTCTGCGCCTCGTCATCACTATATGCTCGCGGCAAGGACCGATCTGCGCTCAAGTTGAAAAGGACACCTTGCTACTTTGCATAAACTGTGTTATGATAAGTCAGTGCAAACTGTCGCCAACGATGTGAAGAAACTACGTACTTACTCAAATAACCTCTGAATCGTCCGAACTGCGATGTCCGCACGGCGGGCGCTCCGAAAAACTCGGAAAGCGACGGTCGAATACGAACTTACTCCAGTCAGCACATGAGGCGATCACATCCGCAAACACTCGAGTCGGCATCCGAGTACCTCCAACAGGCTTACAGATCACCCCCTGAGCATGGTGAATCAAGGAAACCTGACACACACTCAGGTCTATTATTCATCTCGCGCGCACTATAAACCCAGCCTAGCCATCGCATCGTAGGAATGTTCACGCAGCACTGCACCTCTCACAAACAAGGCATCCAGTCACATACAATGACGACCACGAACACCAAGACCCCTATCTTCCTCACTGGGGCGACAGGTATGTGTCCATTTCGTCTCGGCCCCTCAGGCCATGCAGTGCGAGGTGGTCTCGTCGTTCGACGGAGTGCACTGATCCCTGAACACGAATAGGGTACATCGGCGGGTCCGTGCTCACGCGCCTCCTGCGCCACCGCAGCGCGGACGCGTTCGATATTACGGTCTTCACTCGCTCTGCGGAGAAGGCGAAGTTGCTGCAGGACAAATTTAGCGTCAAGGCTGTCGTCGGGACGCACGACGATCTCGACAAGCTCGAAGCGTGCGCGGAACGGGCACACGTCACTTTCTCCTGTGTGAGTCGTCCGACGGGTGTTAAGCATGGAGGCCTTGACGCTGACAATGTGATGAAGGCCGATTCGGACAACCTTCCGGCCATAGAGGCGATGTTGCGCGGTATGAGGAAGAGGCACGCACAAACAGGAGATGTCCCTATCCTCATACACACTGTCAGTCTGGTCTTACAACGAGCTATTGCATTCGATCGCTGACATACCTTACAGTCTGGTACAGGTCCGTGTTGCATTTTGGGAGCACCTTGTGGCGTGCTGACGGAAAACAAAACCAGGCGTCCTCGGTGAAGATGATAAGGGCATGGCCCCCTCCGAGACCATCTACTCGGACCTCAACATCGAGCAGCTCAAGTCCATCACACCGGCAGCACCACACCGCAGTGTCGATTTGGCCATCATCGATGCAGACAAGCAGGGTGCGGCGTCTGTCTCTTCGTGCCCTGAAACATCAAGTCAGGATGTCCTCAACTGACGCATCATTCAGGCTTTGTACGTACTTACATCGTTCTGCCCTCTACAATCTACGGCATTGCCTCTGGCCCACTTGTCGACGCGGGGATCACGAACCCGCTCTCCCTACAGATCCCTACCCTCATAAAGGTGTCCCTCGCCAGGAAGCAGGCCGGTATGGTGGGCGTGGGCAAGGCGCTGTGGCCAAACGTCCACATCGATGATGGTCCGTGTGCACTCTGTCCGATTTCGCCCTTCTGGATGTACTGCTTACTGGTGTTGTTGCATTCGACAGTGGCAGACTTGTACATCGTGATCGGAGACAGACTGCTGAACAACGGCGACGAAGGCATCGGCCATGGATGGGAGGGGTTTTACTTTGGCGAGAACGGCGAACATTCGTGGTACGACATCAGCAAGGCCATCGCCGAGTCATTTGTCGAGTTGGGACTTGAGGGTACGAGCGAGCCGACGCCCTTTAAGAAGGAGGAACTGGTCAAATATTTTGGCTCTGAAGTACGTTGATGTGACCCCGAGCTCAGATTTTCATATTCGCGAGGACAGCTAGACTGATCATATCCTCATCATCCTGCAGGAGGTCAGTAACCTCTTTGGGTCAAACTCCCGCTGCCGGGCAGAACGCAGTCGCTTGGTTGGCTGGAAGCCGAAGAGGAGGACGGCGGACATGTTGAAGGGGATCAAATCCGAGGTGGAGTTTATTGTGAAAAAGTTGTAGGCGTAACGAATGCGAGGAGCGGCATGCTCGTGCTCAGAGCCACTGGGTATGTTTCCGAGAAATGGTACTCTCGAAAGTAAAGTGTAGGACAGATCCTTCAGCACACGAAAACGCTATCGAGACACTGGCTGCTAGTACTCACATCAGATAGCAATACGAAGTGACAGCTATTCTCGGGACTCATCGCACGCTGCGATCCATCAAATGCCGCGTATACGGGTTGCTGCGCAGGACAACCATCTTGTCGTGAGGCACGACTCGAGCAGAATCCAGATGCACGAGGCACTTGGGCAGACGATCCGCGCGTGATCCTCGGGGAGTAACTTGAGAGACTACGCAGTCACTGTGCCGCAGGCGCATTGACACTTTCAAACGATCCGGGAACGGTCAGTCATATCAAGTTGCCTTCGACCAACAGATTTCTTACCGCACATTCAGATGACATCTGCGGCAGATAATAAACAATAGAGCGGAGTTCTTAGCCGCAATTATGATTGGGGCCAGATAAAGCCAAGCTTTAAAGCTATGCTGTCAAGCTGGTGCACTGTGGTGCACATATTTGTTTTGACACATTCCGCGGGAGGAGCCGTACAGGAATTGCTAGACACTCAGCTGAGAAAGAGATTGCGTCTAGTCACGCCGCACCATCCTGCATTGACTGTGCTTGATGCTGAGCGCAGCGGTGTGTGCTTTGAGTACGTGCGCGATGTATATGGACGCAGCATCCGTGATCCCGCGACCGAGTGAGACCTAAAATCTGGCCGGTTACCGGGAGGTGGGCACGTAAATTCGCGGATGGGCGTGCGCAGTCGCTCATGTGCAACGTGTGTCGATATCGCTGGGAATAATCTGGGCTGGATGATACCATTCAAGAACAGCTGTGGGTAGTCTCTCAGAGGATGCTTCGAGCGCAGGCCCGCGTTCACGCTTGCTACAGGTGCACGCTCCAAGACCAAGCTTGAGGCCCTCAAACGAGACGCCGACCTTGATGACAGCGTCGGCTTTGTACAGGCGAACGCTCGAAACCTCTGGAGGAGGTCGAATAGGTTATGTGTGGTTTGAAAGTCGTCGTGAGCGCCGTGGACCCATAAATTTGGTCGTTGGGAGTCAACAGGGAATCAATGTTGTCCGATGCGTCTCTTCCCTTCGAGTCGCGCGATCAGTGGATCACTAAGTGCGGCAAATGCAAAAAATATCACCGCAAGTAGACACGCGTCTCTCCCCGGGCCCGGGCTTGGTAGAGGCTACGCCTTGAACGTTGAATGTTGAACTTCTGGCCTAGGATCGTGTCTTATTCTGTAAAACCATCCTTAGACTCGTCGATATCGTTTCTGTACCTGATCTTGTCTGGAGTTCGGTGTCATCTGAGCATCCATATGTATACCCCTACTGTGACCAGTCTTGCGATGTCGTCCTGGCCTTGTTTGGCCGCCAAACGACGGGTGTTTGCTGGTGCATAGTTTGCGCAGTCATGGCCGCTCAGTGACAGCGCGCTTCTTCCTTTGCCTGATCGGGCGTATATCGTACGTACCAGGAGGCTGGAGCACCCAAGGGTAACAACCTCCCTATCCTCTGTCAATCATTCCCCAGCCACCATGATTGTCTCGCTGTCTGCTCTGCTGACGATGATATGTATATTGTACTTGATAGAGCCCACATAATTCACTACATATCATGGCTCCCTTCCGAAATACACATCGCGCGGGTAAATGGCATGCAGTCCTGGCGGAACTTAAGTATCATACATTATAACACGATATCCACTTCGGATCCTCATCATATCTTTAAGAGCTCTGACGCTTTCTGGGGTACCCCGAGCGGCGAGATCGGGACGGGTATTGGTTGCGATAGCAAGGAAAGGAAGGCACCTCTGCGGGCAGTCATGCTTCACCCAGTGCAGCAACACGCCGCCCTTGACACCCCGCGAAATGTGCTCGATTGCGTAATGAATCAAATTCAATCTCGGAGGCATCTCATTATAACCCGCTAGAATATTCTTGTCAAGGGCGTATTGGTATAAGCTGTCCCAATGCACGACGTAGCCTAGGGACTTTTGCGCGGTCTAGCTGCATATTGCAGTGGAGCTGGTAGAGACTGAATGTCTGAAGAGTGTACATCCCTCGAAGAGTGTCAACAACATCCACGGCTACTTGAGCACAAATTGCACCTACATGAGCGTTACATACGACGCAAGAAATTCTCGTGGCGCGGTAGCCAGTTGAACTTGAGGTTTGGTCCCGTACCCAAACTTGAGGTTCGTCTTCTCATGGCCACGTGACAAGAATTCGCTTGGGCCGATTGATTTATTGAAATTTGAATACTCAAGGGCACCGGAGGCCTCAAGAACTCGCAAGGTAGCTCTCCTAGTGATTGAAGATAGGAGTGAACGCAGTGCGGAAGAGAAAGAACAAAGCCAGTGAAAAGCGCGTCGATGACAGCTAATGTATGAATCTGGACATAATCATTCATCGCCAATCTAAAAATTACATTTGGTATGATCCAAGAGGGAACTATATTCGACTAGTTCACCGAGGAGCTGGATGCTTGCATTCAATTAACTCAACAACTGGCCCCCACACATCGTACAATGCATGTTATCCAGCGAGAATGCCTTCGATTTCTGCGAGTAAGCCAATGGCAACCATAACATTACCGGACTGTACCCTATGACATCTACTGCACGAAGCTCTGGCACATACTCGGCTGCCCTGCGAAGACAGCCTGATCTTTGTGGTTCGCAAACTATGATCATGGAAAGTATGGAAGCGTAAGAGCTTTATGCTTTCGAGGGAAATCATATCACTGGGGGGTCAGACGGATGAAGAAGGGGTAAATTTTCAATCGACTGAAGTCACTTACATGTCAAAGCCATTACAACAAATCAGTGGCAGCGTTCCGCTAGCTTGTTTCTGCGGAATACCGTTTCTTGGAGTCAGATTTGGGATAGCGACGCATAGAAACGGGTGCATGAAGGATTTGAGCAGATGATCCGCGCATGATCCCTCGAAGAGTGAATTGAGAGACTACGCATGGCCACTGTGCCGCAGGTGCATCAGTGACACCTTCACATAGCCCGAGCCTAAGAACGGTCAGTTGCATCAAGTCGGCCTTCTCGATCAATAGATCTCTCGCCGCACATTCAGATATCGTCCACTGCAGATGATAGGCAATGGAGAAATGCCCCGGGCCCAAGACCGTTTGGGCCACATCCCCGCCTCGGTGAGCGCGTGCGCGCTTTCAGCGTGCTCATCTAAACCACATGAACTGCTTCAATTCGTGCCGAGTCCGCCCGATCGACACATGGCGTCAACAGTATATCTATGTCTTGATTTACGCCACATTGTCAGTAGTAATGCACATGTATGTATGTCATACAACAACACGACATCCGCCACCGATGGTCACGGTGGTTCCATTACCAGACGGACTCATCGATGACACATGTACATGAGCTCGGAGGGAGAGAATAGGCTGGTGCAGATGACATGGTCGCCCACCGTGGACCTGGAATAATGCACATTGGCCGTAGTAGCACCATCACCGGCCGCCCGCGCGCATCGCGGGCGCATTGTCAGAGTCCGAAGATGCGGAACTTCGCATGCACGCTAATGGCGGCCCGCTTATGTCGTACGACGACGAATGACGGATGGAAGAAGACGTCAGATACCGGTCAGAAGACTGGCATATAGTCATATAGTAAGCAGTAATGGCGAGGCCAGTTGTACGGTGTTGGCGCTAGGACTATCATGGTACACATATGCACGAGGCGTGTCTAGTGATGAATGCTGTCTGCGGCAAATTGAGGGGAAGAAGGGGGACGGGTGCTTGTGGACCATCGCGAGGTACCACAATTGAGGACAGACACAGTTGCAATACCTTGAGTTTTGAACATTTGATTCCTGGCGATAGAATCAAGTGAGCAAGTACATTCCGTAGGAAGAGCCACCACATGAATTTATGTGGAGATCAGTTTGTCGCAACATAAATCACAGATCCATAGACCCGCAGCCGCGGAAATGATTAAAGTACAGTGAGACGGAGTGTACGGCAATCGCTAGACGTCTAGACACTCAGCTGAGCAAGAGATCGTGCCTATTGCTGCGCCATCCTGCGTCGGGCTGTGCTTGATGCTGAGCGCTGCGGTGTGCCTTCGCGAGAGATACGTACGTGCGCAATGCATACGATGACGCAGTATCTGTGATCCCGCGACCGAGTGAGACCTGACCGTATCGGCTGGGAGGTTGAGGTGTACGGAGTGCATTTCTGAGGTTGGAGAGATCGCACCCGAGGACTTCGATGTCAGCACGCGCAGTCGCTCATGTGCAACGTGCGTCGATAGAGGGAAACAGCTGTGGGTAGTCTCTCAGAGGGTGCTTCGAGCGCAGGCAGTTCGTCCGGCTACGGGGAGGGAATATTGCGATATCCGGATTCCGAATGCAGCCCCTGCGCTGCCGACATTCGGACTCGGAGCAGAAGACGGGACGACGAGTAGCTTGGCAAGGCAATGTGACGCGCATTGCTACATCTCATGTATGAAGTTGCTGGTTGCGCACCCGCTGGCTGGAATCTTGTTGTTGCGCCCGGGGTTGGATCATGGTTTGAATTTTGACCAAACTGTGTCATGTCCTGTACCGAGTGTAATGTATACAGGGGCGCACTCCGGTGCACTGCAGCTGTAACATGTAGCTTGAGACCCAAGCTGTAACAAAAGAGTTGTGGTGTGAGAGATTTACTGTGGCCAGGCTACAATGCCGAGTCACATCGTGCTTGCCGGTCACACAATTGCCGGCCGGCTACGCACCCTTGCATGTGATTGGAGGCGGGCGCTGTTGACGAGCAGACGCTTAGCACCAACCTAGCGCGTCGGGATCCGGCGGTATGTCACAGCAAGAATGGTCAGCAATCTGATAAGTCGTCGTCCTCGGCGCACTGACCCCTGTCTAATAGCTAGGGGTGTCGCGTCGTCGTCGAGTAACTTGACGGCAACCACAGAAAATAGA